AGAAAGCACCTCCAACCTGCTTCTGTATCTGTTTTACAGCTTCTCTTTCCTTCTGACACTTGATGCACGCCGGCCCCGCCTCCCCGGCTCGGCCAATCAGGAGAGGGCTTCGCCTCGGCCCGGCGCGTTCCAGCATCCAGAGGCTTTTCTTTCAAGTCTCCAACTTTTAACAACCACGTCCAGACGTGAGCACATTTACCCCTGTGTGCTGTCGTCACTCCACTGGCTTCCAGTCCAGTTTTAGAATTGATTTTAAACTGTTGTTTGTTTTTAACGCCATTTATGGCTTGGCCCCTTCTTACTCGTCTGAGATTTGAACTTTTCGCAGTTGTGGCAGAGCCTTGCGCTGACATCCGCACCACTACTGACCTCAGCCTTTTTTTTTAAAAAAAGCTTAAGACCCACTTTTTTAAATTAGCGTTTAATTCGGACTAGGGTCTCTTAGGTGTCCTCCTTCTGTCTGCTCCTTTCTACGCCCTTCTGGAAGGCTTTTAATGCCACTACAGCATTTTTTGTTGTTTCTGTATGTTTTGTATGTTTTTTTGTATTCAACTCAACTCAACTCAACTTTATTTATAAAGCGCTTTCAGTCAGCCAAAGCTAAAATCAAAGCGCTGTACAGGCCATTTGAGCAGATCATAAAACACAATTATCACCACAACACAAGACAAACTCAAAGATTAAAAACAGTAAGAGCAAAAAATAAAAAACAAAACAAAACCAAGTAAGAGAGGGAAATTAAGACAACTACGATTAAATCTAAGTCTCACTCAAAGGCCTGAGAGAAAAAGTGGGTCTTTAACTCATTGGCTGCCTAAGAAGTCTATAGACGTCAATTCAAATACAACCGTCTTTTATGTTTTTCAACGCGCGTGGCTTGGGGGACGATCTGCTAAAGTTTTTCCGTAAATATCAGGCTTCCAGACAGAGTATGTAGTAACAAATTGACCCTCTAGGTAGCTGTGCCACTTTTGATGGGAGATGAGCATAGACTGTAGGCAAATAAAAAGAAACGCAATGGTTCGCTATGCGAAAAATGGCGCCGGTGAGACGCACGTTGAGGAAGAACGGAATAAGGTAGAAACACATTTTTTTTCCCGATGAAAGAAGAGAGTCCACTCTTTCTTTTGGTGTGTTCGGTGTATACATAGTCAAAGCACAAACTATTCTGTGCCTCTTGAAAAATCAGTCAAAATGCTAAAAAAAACTCTGGCAGTATGGGACTCTCTGTTCTGAAAATGGCTGGCAGTCAATGAGTTAAAAGCGTTTTTAAAAGAGCTGAGTGTATTGTTTTATGGCTTTGTTGTAAAGCGCTTTGAGTACCATTTGGGTATTGTCAAGGGCTATACAAATAAACTTCCTTGCTTGCTTGCTTTCTCCAGACGTAAAAGAGGGGGGTCACTCACCGTACATTTTGCCCTCGTCCGACAGGATGATCT